AAAAAAAAAAAAAAAAAAAAAATTCTTACAGAGTTGATTGCAAACATGTTCGACTCTAATTGTTTGATCGACAAATTCAATTAGTTATTTGAGTTTGACTTGTTTAAGTATTTAAACGGGCCGAAATTGAGTTTTCACAATTCGAACCGAAATATGTTAATAGATAATTCAGTTCTAGTCATGGCAAAACAAGTTCCGGGCTGAAATTGCCAGCTCGAACATATGCACTGGCCGGTTCATTGAGTTGTCGGTTCTTGGCCGCCCGTTTCATTAAAAGAAATATGTATAATTAAAAAATATTTTTGATAAAAAAGGCCAAAATGAAACCGCTGGTTCGAAATGTATAAAATATAAAAAGTATTGAACATGAACCGAACTTGTCAAAATTACGGCCGGTTCAAGACATTCAACGGGCCAGTTTGTGCCGGTTCGAGCTGAATCGTCGGGCCAGCCTGATCCATGAACATTTCTACTCGGTTCCAATAATAGCAAAAATAATATGTAGTCTCGTGTTAAAATTATTTCTGCCTAAGCGCCTGTGTACAACCAAACCACCCCATGAGAAAAAAATAAATAAATAAAATGAAAATAAAAATTCAAGTGGCTGAGAATTTATTTAACGGCCAAAACGACTATCAGTCGGGTCGTATAACTCGGCTTCCGCAGCCATGTCCCTGCTCCTTCCTCCGCCTTCCCTCTCCCGTTGCCTTCGCACAACGCCACATCCATCTGCCGTCCATGGCGGAAGCTCCTTTTTCCGATGTAAAGCATCATGGCAAGAGGTAGCCACATCATCTCCCCTCTCTCTCTCTCTCTCTCTCTATATATATATAAATATATATTAATACGCGTTTCAATTGATATTGGTCCTTTGATGAAGGTCGCCGGCGTTTTGGTATTCTCGGCGATTCCTTTCACGGCGGTGAAAACCATAGCCAACAGTCCACTCGGACAGTCACTCCAGAGGCGAATGGAGGAGAAGAAGCAGCTATATCAGCAAAATTCGTCGAAATTGAAGGTGCTTTCCGACAAGGCACGAGCTGAGAGGTAATTGAGTGCTTATTCGTCACTGCTTCATGTATGATTTCTGTTTTTCCAGCTCAATTCTATACGAATGTTTAAATTTGTATTGAGTACAGAGGTGTGGATTAAGCCAAAGGGGAGATTGATTAGTTGCATATATGTTCTTTTGTGTGAATGAATTTGTTTATGTTGTGTTGCTAAAATTAGTTTAGCATCGAAGTAAGGGTGACTTGCTGGTATTGATTTCCTTCCTCCATGAAATTAATACCGGTAACTAAAGTTTCGTTCTGCATAATTGAAGCACAATCACTTCAATTTACTTCTAGATAGAATTAGAGCATGCATTGATTCTTGCTGAGCCAGGTCTTATAATGTCTTGTGTGCCTTTTGTAATATTTAATATTAAACGTAAAAGAAACTGGATGCTGTGACTTTCACCAATAAGGCACAAAGAGCGTCTCCAACTCCAAAATAGACTTAATTTTTTAATGATGCAGAGAAACCAAAAGAAAAACAGATATATGCAACATTTTTTGAAGTTGGGTCTAAAATTAGGAGTAACCAAACATATATGAAAAGTTATATTAAAATAATAATTTTTATGTTGTCTCGTCGGGTCTATTGCCATGTCTCAAAATAGACTCAAGTGGAGAACTGGTTTGTTTTGTCACGCGACACATCAACTATACTAGACTCATTTTGTTTGCATTGGAGAGGATATGTTACACAAAGAAGTCTGAAATCCTATGTGGAAGCATTGAAGATACTCTAAGGAAAATAGGAACAAAAGAAGGACCACCGATTTGGTTTGAGGGCTGACCAGATATAGTATACATGTACTATGTCTGAACCAAATGTGTAAAAGAGGACTACTATAATCCAGACATGTGAGAGCAGGATGCCCTGTTATTGTTATGCGTGTGTGTAATTATTTAAAAAATCTGTTCATGTGCTTCTCCGGCAACTTGCTAGTCTATCCAATATGTCCATTTAGTTTTTCTCACCATCAGGTTTACAAAAATTTATTATTTTGTGAAAGAAATCAAATTCTCTTCTTTTCCAGCATGTGGTATGGAGAGGATCGCCCTCGCTGGCTTGGTCCGATCTCATATGATTATCCTGGCTATCTCACTGGTGAACTGCCAGGGGATTATGGTTTTGATATTGCGGGTTTGAGTCAGGACCCTGTGGCCTTGCAGAAATTCTTCAAGTGAGTACACATCCTAGCTTTATTAGCTCTTTTTTCTTCAGTAACTTGATGTGAATACATGAACAACTACTCAAGTTCAGGAAACAGTGACTTTTAGCAAAATGATAAAGAAAAATCAAAACTTTCACTTTGAAGTATTCCTGACCATTTATTGCCACAATTTGGTGAACAAGCAACCAAACTGTTAAGTTTAGTACTGTGCATGTTGTTTTTGAGTAAGCCATGATGAATGTGGCAATTAACTTGACTTACGAACTGTCTATTAAGAATAGCTATTTCTTTGGTCTTACGGAACTCAAATAAAAAAATATTTGACATAATCGACAAGCTCAAGGTAGGTCTCTATAGTTTGAAGAAACCACCACTAAGGTTTGTATTTATTTAAGAAAAAGAGGAAAATACTCATTTCTGTTAGTCATTTGTGACTAAGGGCATTAGCGTCATGAGAGGTGAAATTACTTTAGACCTAGGCACAATCTATTTTTTACTAATCAAACCTCAGGGAGTATTGACCTCTTACAGATAATAATGTCTTCACATGAAATCTCATTATGCAAGATGCATAGGACAATGTCATAGTTCACAAAGTAAATACTTTTTCCTTCATAGAATTAATGAATACTTGAATGTCTTCTTTTATTGTTATGGAACAAAAGATTATCCCTTAAATATTCCTTGACCTTAGAAGCTCAAGTATATCAGCTCACTCGTAGAGGGTTCAAATCATGGCTCACACATCGAAACCTAATAGTTTTTTTTAATCTTCATCTTCTCCTGCTAATTAAGAGGATGAAAATGGGCAACTATTTATCCACTACAGTCATCTTGCTTCATCCTTAACCTTCTATCTCTTTCAGAAGATAAACTTAAATTGTAAGCGTGGATTAACTAGAGGTCCATGAAGCACTTAAGTTAAGCTGTATGGCTGCCTTAACTTAGAGTCCATGCTCTAATGTCTTTGGGGTTAAAGAGGGTTTTCAGTAGAACCATACTAATACCCAAATTTCAAGTAGTAGTATAACCTATGGGATTTGTTACGATATTAGCTGAAGTAAACAAATCTCCATGTTTAGAATGAGCTCACAACCTCATCATCAAGATGATAACATCACTTATCGTAAACTATATTATTGTGCAGTTTTGAAATACTTCATGCTAGGTGGGCTATGCTTGCTGCACTTGGTGCTTTAATCCCTGAAATATTAGACCTAATAAGAGCATTCCATTTTGTGGAACCTGTTTGGTGGCGAGTAGGCTACTCAAAGCTTAAGGTTAGTCTGATATGTTTATTTTTATCATTGCATAAAATATTAGAAGGCCTCTATAGTTTCTGCTGCCTTCGCAATATTTCAGCCTATGTCCATTATAATGATAAGTCTTGCAATTCCGGACACAGCAAGACAGCATGACACAAACACAAGAAGAAATAACGGGTTAGTGATTAAACTTACAGTGTTCATGCCGTTATCGTTTCGGGACACGAAAATTTCACTTCATGCTCGTTGTCAACCCCATACAATCCCCCTTATATATAATTTCCGAATGTGCTGAGCCTAAGTGGCAGGCTCGCATGCTTCGGGTTCCTATATGGCAAAATTTCATGCTTCATTATTTGGCTTGGATTAATTTTAATTTACTTCCCATTCAAAAATAATTAGGTTCGGTTATCCATAAATATGTTGATTATTTATGGTCATTTTGGATGTATTAGTTGCATTTTAATATCAATTCCTATTATAACCATTGAATTGTAAATGTATTTTGAAGTTGATAACTTTTGTATTTCTTATCGGTTTTACATATATATTATATCAAATTAATTGTCTCTTAAAGAGCTCGATTTGACATCCATATTGTAGGTATAAAATAAATAAATTATATTTATCTTTATAATAATAGTAAAATTATTTATTAATATTAAATAGAAAAGTATAATTATTTATCAATTAATATATTTATGATTAAAGTAGTTATATGGTTTATGTTAGAAAACTTATAACACTGGTAAGTCGCACAAGAATAAGTGTCATTCTAAAATATATATAATTATAAATATATATATATATATATATATATATATTTTGAAAAAACTGTTTAAATTTTGAAACAATTTTTTTCATTAATTTTAAAATTTAAAAATAGTTTTTTCTAACAAGCACCCGTGTAATACACGAGTGTTGTACTAGTTACTTATATTAATGTAATTTTCCATGTGATATCATGTTGCATCGTTTAATATCTTGCATTAGAAATTTAGGGTCAAGCTACAATTTGGTTTCAGGTTTTGGTTTACAACTAGTAAAATACTGTCTTGAATTATAAATTGCCATAATGGTATCGAAGATAGCTTTGAGATTTGTTTCAGAGCTTGTTCCATATTAGAAAATTATTGAAATCAGACTAGCTTGTGAAATATTCAGTTTTATGACGAGTTTGATGCTTCTGCATTAATTAGTGTCGTCATCACCATTCAAATTCATATTGTGTACACATGCGAGGTGAATGAGGGGAATTTAACGTGATTTGTATTGAATGTTTTTTGTAAAGTAGAAACAATTTTTGGAAGAAGAATGTGGTCTATGCACTATTTTATGGAAGAAGAATCTATGAACTATTATTAAGGCTTCATAAGTTTACAGAATGTAATATGGCTTCATAAGTTTACTTACGCTGCTTAAAGCTTACATGGTTTCTTCTTGACATCGATTTCATCTTTTCTACATAATATTTAGTTACTAACGCGAAACAAATCTTCTATGAATGGGAGCATCTCTTCTTTTCTGCTCCATGCAATGACTTGTCTGTCATTTCTTGACCTATGGAATTTAAGGTCCAGCACATCACTTCATAGGTTTTGTCTGGTACTCTTTAATTACATTCTCTCGTTGCCCTTTATGCGTTTCTGGATTAGTTATTAGTAGCCTATGGTATCCGCGTTTGATTGGGTGATTGACCATGAGTTATTGGTTTATTCTTCTCGTGTATGTTAATCGGGCAGTTGCCTGTGGTACCAGTCAAGATAAGTTGGCCAATCCATTGAATAGATTATTTGTGATGTAGCACTGGGTTACCTTGCCATATAATTTTCTTTTTTATGCCTTACGGTTGTCTTGCACTTCTTTGTTCGAGTAGCTTCCATAGACAGCTTGAATGGTTTTTTGTTAACATCGTTATTTCATTACTAATAGGTTTCAAAAACAGTAATATTAAAACCAGTTAATGGCTTCAAGAAATTTACTAAAATGTGCCTTTAGAAATGTATATCAACCATAGTTTAATTTAAATACTTCATAAGTTTATTCTGTTGCTATTAGAGTAGAAAATGCCTAATTTGATCTCATCAATGAGATTAATTCATCGGCATTTGTTTCCTTCTCTTATATATTCTTTTCACCAGGGTGATACCTTAGACTACCTCGGCATTCCGGGTTTCCACTTGGCTGGAAGTCAAGGAGTGGCTATTATAGCAATCTGTCAAGCCCTTCTGATGGTAATTGTACTATTCACTTGTAATCTGAATCTGTTGATCATTTTGATGCCTTAACTGTCAAGATTAGCACCCTGTTGCAGTTCTATTTATCTGCCCTGTGATATTTTCTCTAAACAAACCATTTTTTGAATTTCAATTGCATGACTGGATTGGCCATAGTTAGGATACCTATGCATCTAAAAACTGCATGACGAATCTGCTATTAAAGAACGTAATATTTTGTTTAGCATTCAACTATAAATTCATACTTAGGTAGTTTCCTACTTAGGTAGCAATATGCATAGAATTAGTAACCTAAGCACAATGAAAAAATTTGAAGTTTAATTATCGGAGTGAAATTGGTATCTTACTTGACACAAGAAAAATAGCTTCACCATATAGAAAGTCCATGATGTAGTTGAGAAAACCTTGCGAGAAAACACAAAGTTCAATTCTTGATGGTGATTTGACATAAATAATTTGACTGCTGCAAGTGAGTAAATTCAGCAAAATGAGAAAATGTCTATTACAATCTACTTTTGCTGCATAGAGTATGAAATGAAAAATATATATATATATATATATATATATATATATATATATATATTTGCCTAACTTCACTAGTTATTATGATCATCCGGCAGAAAGCATAGCAAATATTTTTATGCCCCTTCAACATAGTGCTCACAGTTTCTACCATACAGAAGCCAGATACTTTTAATTTTCAGAGTATGTCAATTGATTTTCTGGACAATTTCCCCTCAAAGTATGCCTTACGATTTTCCTGAAGCACATGGAGGGCCGGGGGTTAAAAAGAGAAGGCTTTGTGATGATGTGATCTCATTAAGGCAATGCAATAGCCAAGAATAAAGTCCCTTCCCCTGTTAATTATCAGCTCCTTATTTTCCTTTTCAATATACTTTAATCGCTATTTTTAATCATCATCTTGCCTCTCTCATTTCCTGGAGTTTGGAAAATTATAGTTTCCTTACTTGGTTACTATTGTATTTACCCACCCACCAAACCTTTTCTGTATGACCTTTACATTCTGTATGCAGGTTGGTCCAGAATATGCGCGATATTGTGGTATTGAGGCACTTGAGCCTCTAGGTATATATTTGCCGGGCGACATTAATTATCCGGGCGGTGCACTTTTTGATCCCTTAAATCTCTCTAGAGATCCCTCTTCTTTTGAGGAACTAAAGGTGAAGGAGATTAAGAATGGTCGTCTGGCTATGGTTGCCTGGTTAGGCTTTTATGTTCAAGCTGCTCTAACCGGTAAGGGTCCTGTACAGAACCTTCTCGAGCACATTGCAGATCCATTGCACCATAATCTGCTTTCAACAATAGAATCTTTGCATTTGTTCTGACCCTCGAATTCATTATAAGTTAATATGCACATTGTCACTACTTGTTAAAGGTCTCCATGTAATGTAAATGCATACTGGTCTCATCCGCATTGATCCTATGTAAGTCCCGTGAAATAGCGACAACAGAATGCGAATTTGTTATCGTTTTATCCAACTATAATACACGATGAGGATGTGATTTATAGAAGCTTACTCATAATCTAAGCCTAGTGGAATCGTTATCATCATTTATTTTCCAAGCAATGTAATACAAACTTCATCCGAGTTCTTGCATAGCTGCACTTGAGGATTTTGAGCTCGAATTATGTACTGAAGCATTTTCATCTATTGTTTCATATGCATTGTCCAACTTGATTAATTAAATTGTTTTGATTGGATTGTTTAGTGAAGAATGTCGTCTCTAATTCTTTTATCCTTTATAATTTATACTAGTACAACACCCGTGTATTACACGGGTGCTTGCTAATTTTTTATCTTAAAATCTAAAATTAATGAGACAAAGTAGTTTGAAAATTTAAATACCTTTTATAAATATATATATTATTATATATTTATTATGACACTTTTTATTTGTGCAATTTACTTGTGTTATATTATACTATTTTTTTAACTTACAATATATGACTCTATTACATAAATATATCAATTGAGAAATAATTTTATTTTTCTAATGAATTTTAATAAACATTATTATTTTTTATTATTATAAAGATAAATATAATTTATTTATTTTATATATACAATATGGATGTCAAATCGAAGATCATCAAAAGATGATTAATTTGATATATTATATATGTAAAACCGATAAGAAATACAAAAGTTATCAACTTTTAAAATAAATTTATAATTCAATAGCTTATTGAAAGAAACAAATCAAAATTTAAGGATATATTAGACACTTAGTGCCTCACTATGTAAAATTACAAAGAATTAAAGAGTTATATTAGTAAAAGTGATATTAAAATACCTAAGTTAGCTAAATAATATTTATGGAATACCCGAACCTAGATTATTAATTATTAATATATCAATATTATTTATCCAAACCTAATTACGAAGCATGATTATTCGCCAAATAGGATTCCGAAGCACCAGAAACAGCCATATAGGCTCAGCGCATTCGGGAATTATATATAGGGAGGATTGTGGAGCTGTCCGATCAAAAGAGACTAGATTACCAAAAGTACATCTGGAAAGCAAATGATTGGTGAACCACATGAATTGCTACAAGGGGGTGATTGAATATGAATTCAACTAGAAAAAAATTAGTTTTTTTTTTTTTTTTTTTTTTTTTTTTTTTTTTAACTATAGTTAAGTTTGAAAAAAAGTAGTATGATTAGTTGTTAGTGGGGGGAAATTTCACTTTTGGTACCCCAGGTTTACATACTTTTCGGTTTTGATACCCATGGTTTCAACTTAATCATTTTCAGTCACTCAAGTATTCAAAATCCATCATTATTGCCCAAATCGTTAGTTGACCGTGAGTCAACTGACGGTCACCTTCTCTAGCAGGTCGTCTCATTCTGCAAGTGATAGAAAATGGCGGGCATCTCCATTACAGCACCACAAAACTGCCGAAAGTGAGGGGAAAAAAATTGAAGTATTTGCAATTTTGCACCATGAGCAGTTCAAGAGGAAGTTGGAACTCTCACTGGAACTCCGATATTAATGGTGCTCCAATTGAGATGACCTGCAATTGTGGAGAAAAAGTGTACTTGAAGATTCCTAATTTGTTCAACTGAAAAAAAAAACCTAATTTTTAAAAATTCTCTCACCATAATCAGATAATATGGATACCTCAAAATTAACCATATAATTTCCATTGAAAAAGAGTATGCATCTATCACGGATAATCGAAAAACCCCTAATTTTTTCAACTGAAAAAAACCCCAATTTTTAGAAGTACTCTCACCATAATCAGATAATACGGATATCCCTCAAAATTAACCATATAATTTCCATTAATTCAAAAAATTGATGACAAACTGAAGTGAAAAAATTTACCATATTGAGGTTGCAACCCACGTATAATCCTGTTTGCATTGAGTCAGATGGGCCGTCGCAGTTCTTAATATGCTCGTCGCAAATCTGAATATGCTCGTCGTAAATCTGATATGGATGCTCACAATACACCAATACACATTGTCCACTCAATTGCGATAAATGAAAGAAATTTTTCTGAAGGTAAAATGTTAGGGTTTTTTTCATTTCAATTAGGTCTGGTCGATTGGAGAAATTGGGGGAAACCGATTATTTAGGTTTCTTTCGAGAAAACAACAGGCTATAGAAGGTGAAGGTCAGTTGACTCACGGTCAACTGACGATTTGGGCAATAAGGATGGATTTTGAATACTTGAGTGACTGAAAATGATTAAGTTGAAATCATGGGTATCGAAACCGAAAAGTATGTAAACTTGGGTACCAAAAGTGAAATTTTCCCTTGTTAGTGGATATATTGAAATAATATTTAAATTAAAATAATTAAAGTTGATTTGATATAAAAGTAAGAGAAAATGATTGGAAGTGATGGCTAGTTAAAATTATGTGAGTAGATGAATAGTGAATTAAAGTTGACGTGATTTGTCATAATGATTGGTTGATATTATTTAATTATATGGATAATATTGAGATAGTGGAGTTGGGTTAAAGTTGAGTTAAATTTGAGTTTTGAATGAAATATTTACTGTAGAATCATATACAATCGCGCCCTAAACACCGCCCATTTTTTACTACCTACCTCCTCCCCTTGGACCATATTGTCATTAGCATTTTTTTTAAAAAAAAAAAATATGGTCTTTCGGCAATACTGGTTGGACTGCTGTCGACCAGCCGAAAATTGCGGCCACGCTCGGCGGCAGTCGGTTGATTCAGCCAGCCAGTCCAGTGATCAGCCGGCCTAATCGGTCGACCGCCACCGTGTGCGGCCGTAATCGCCAGCCATCCGATGGAGGTTCGGCTGGTATTGTCGACTGGTCGACAGCGGTCAAACATATATTGCCGGCTGGTCGTGTTTTTTTGTAATCAAATTTTTATTTAAATTATGTTAGAATTATTATATTATAAATTAGAATTGATTATCTTATAGAATTTGTTATTACGTTACATCTTAGAAATTGTTATGTTAGGTCATCTCCAACCAAAAAACTCATTCTCAAACCCATTTTGCAGTAACTGTCATATTTTGCAGTAATTCATCTCCAACCGAAAAACTCATTCTCATATCCAAAAGAATATTCTCGGAATATTCTCTTTTACATCAACTTTTATAACTTTTTAATACTACCCACATATTTTACAACTTTACAAATTAAACTACACTATTATTTTAAATTCAATTTGGACTTTATGTAATAAAATTGATTATAAAGTTATAATCATATACATAATAAATTGGAGAAATAAACATTCATTATGATATGGGATATTATACGCACTAGACCGGTTCGTCGGGTCAACCGAATAGAATGGATTAGCCGCTTTGGTCGAATAGCGTGGTCGTTAAGTGATACGGGTGCGAAGGTCGAAGATGCGCGGATTCATGAGCATTGGGGAGTTACCCGCGTTACTGAGCACTGGTCAAGGAGACAGGTGGTCGACTATTGATGGTCGTAAGATCGACCACTTCCCATCCAAGGGACAGCTCGGCGATTGGGCCAGATTCGGTCGAACGTCGGAGCCTCCAAGAAAATCTCCAGCATGTGTACGGAAGACACGCGGCGCATAAAGATTGGTCCACACTGGTAACGACCTCTGACACGTTCTGACCCATTCTGAGACATTCCTAACGCAAAGATAGTGGTGGCATGAGGTTGTACGATTGGGCAGTTGGGGCAGCTAGCTCAGCTCGTCCGGGCAACTCTTAGGGCAGGTACTCGCCTCTATAAATGGGGGCGAGATTTCTCATTTTCCACATAATCTCATAAACATTTTACATATTTTTCACATACATCCTTTATCTTCTCAAGGCTGACTTGAGCGTTGGAGGCTCTTCACCGGAAAAACCCCCGGTGTGAGAGTTTTGTGCAGGTTCGGCGTTCTACCGATGATGAAGGCAAGCTCGAGACGATTTCCAGCCGGTCGGGGCGTTACACTTGTATTACATTAAAACTTAAAAATTTCATCAAGATAAAATTAAAAATTACAAGGCACAAGATACAAGCTATCTTAAATTATAAATTAATAATTTGTGCACATATGCTAAATTGTAGTTTGCCTATCTTAAAATTTGAAAATATTTTAAACGGTATATTTGATTTTTTATGATAACTTAGTTCCAAGCTTTGATACATGTTATGAAAATATTTTACAGATAATTTAGAATGTTATGAATTTTTTTACAAATATTTTTTTAGTTGTGGGAAGTCCATTGCAAATGGAGTTGGAAGAGTCATTGTTGACAATTCTCCAGGCATAGTGCTACTAATGCACTAGATCAAAATGACTCAATTAAATTCTAGTGCTTCTTCTATTAGTGAAGTTTCTAGAAAAAATATATCAAACGACACAATGCACCTTGGGTCTCTACGGAAAGAGCCTCCTTGTATAATTACAAGGATAAAGTCTGCGTACAACTGACCCCCCGGACCCCAACCTGTTGGGAACATACTGGGTATGTTGTGTTGTAATAAAATTACATGTGAAAAGAGAATTGTATTATGTGGGAATCCTTAGAT